CTCTCTCCCTCTCGCTCTCTCTATCGCTCTCTCTCTCTCTATCTCTCTTTTTCTCGCTCTCTCGCCTTGACAGTAGTCTCACTCTTGAATTTGTGCGGTCTCGAAAAGATTTGAATCTGGCAGGCTGGCCTTGTGATGCCCGCAGTCTCACCGCAAACCCGCAAAATAGGAAAAGAATGGACAAAAATACGATCCAAGTTCCGATCTACACCTAGAAACGGTTACGACAGGTAAAATAGGGAGGGGGGGAAACGGTGATCTAGCAGTGATTCTTTGGGATCGGCTGGGCTATCTTCTTAATTCTAGGGGGGCTTTAATACCGTAATTTTTCTCCTAAATGCTCTCTGCTCGTTTGCCTGGCACTAGCAGGGATCCTTTAAGAATTCCTTACATCTCGCTTTCCTTAACGTCCTATGCTAGCCTTCCCTGATCCTCAAGGAACTCTGCTAGCCATCCTCCCGTCCGATTTTCGCCAAAGATCTCTGCTAGTTTACCTTGTCAACCAGATTTTTTACGGTCAAACCTCCTTAAGAATCTCTGCTAGCCACCCTGGTCTTTCGATTTCCACAATTTGCTCGTTGACCACTTTTCTGATCCACGGTTCGCCCTCCCCAGACCAAATTTATCATTTTCCCCCGTGCCTCCTTCGTAGTGTCCAGAGTATTTTCTCGGAATTTCTCGGAATCCTCTTTTTCCCTTCCACTACAAATCCCCTATTTGGCCAGGGCGCGGGAAAAAGTTGGCCCTGCCAATTTCGAATCTGAAAATTCGGCCCCCCGAAAAAGTGGGGTGGGAGTTTTTGGGCGTAGAATTGTTGCCTTCGTTTTAGAAATGGGGGAGGGAATGTTCCCGGTTGAATACAATTCTTTTTTGAGGGAAAAATACAGAATTTGTGATTTGAAGCGAAAGAGAAAGATAGCGAGAGGGAGAGAGAGAAAGAGAAAGAGAGAGAGAGAGAGAGAGAGAGAGAGGGAGAGATAGAGAGAAAGCCAGTGAGTACATAGACAGACAGACGGAGAGATGGCAAAAATAAATTAGTACGGGCCAGTTGTGAGGGGTTTTTCTGATTTCGAAAAATCGCGGCAATATTTTTGAGGAGCAAGCAAGGGAATCCCGAAAGCCAAAATGCCGACAGTCCCCGGGATTTTGGCATTTTGGCATCGTGTCGGAGTTTTCGTTTTGGATGTTTTGAGTGTCGGGATTTTGGCGATTCTCTACAGGGACTAGCCAGCGGAAGCCATCGAGGAAGTGCTAACTGGCAGGCCAGCAGAGATTCTTTGCGGAAATTGGCTCCGAATGCACGAGAGGAATCCTGACGGAGTTTGGAATTAAGGCATCTCTGGCTCGCTCGTTCGCTTGTTCTCACTCGCTCTCTATCGCTCACTCTCTATCTTGCACGCTCTCTCGCCCCCTCGCTTTCTCTTTCTCTGACGCTCTCTCTCTATCTCGCTCTATCTCGCTCTATCTCGCTCTCTCTAGCTCTATATCGCTCTCTTTAGCTCTATCTCGCTCTCTCTAGCTCTCTCTAGCTCTCTCGCTCTCTCTCTCTCTCTCTCTCTCGCTGTCTCTCGCTCATTGGTGTCCCTCCTTGTCCCTCCTCTGCCTGTCCACCGAAACCGAATCCCTTTATTATTTTGTTGTCGTGTATCCCGGAATAGTTTCCGATACCTCTCCGGGGGTAGTTGTGTGTTTGTGTGCCCGGAATATCACCAAAAAAAGCCGGATGAATAGAGAGGAGGGGAAGGAGATTAAGGGGGAGGAGGAGCCAGAGAAAAAGACAGCGATAGAAAGAGAGCGGGAGAGAGACAGGGGAATGGCGAGAGATACAGAGAGAACGAGGGAGACATTAAAGCGGCACACTTCTTTCTTCTGCTTCATCATTCTTCATTTCACGGCTTCTCCTCAGAGTCTTTCGATTCCTGGCTCGGCACCTGGTTGCTCCTGGAAAAGAGAGGGGGTTTAAAGGGAGGGTGACAGGAGAGAAAGCGGGCTGTTTGTAGATGACCAACTTCTTGGGGGAGTTCTCCTTCTTGTTGCGCCATTTCTCGAGGATGCCCTTTGAGTCGAGGTCCTGGAAATGGAGAATGAATTCCAAATAATTTATGCCGGCTCTCTCTCTCGGTACTGGGCTATTAACGGGGGGGGGGGGAGGGAAGAAGGTTATCTTAAATCTGTCATGCCCAAAAATTTGTTCAATTTTTTTCGATTTTTGTAGTTTTTGGTACTAAACGTCAACATTTATTTTCCCTCTCACTCTCTCACGCGCTCTCTCTCTCTCGCTCTCCGTCTCTCTTTCTCTACCTTAGTGCCAGTAGTACGCCGACACATGATTCCAATCTTGTTGAAGGCGATCACGTGCGGCTTGGAGGGATTCTCGAGGGCCTTCATCAGCTCGCTGAAAAGAGAGCATTAGAGCGAGAGAGTGGAAGTGACAGTGAGAGTGGGAGAGAGCGAGAGAGCACGAGCTAGGGATTCCTTACTCATTCTCCTTGGTGTTTGGCGGTACAGCGAGCCAATTGGGCTGTGCCTCTTGAATGTGCTTCTCGAAATCCTTGTTGTTGTTGTCCTGGGAGAGGTAGATCACCTCGACCCCTTCGCCCTTTCGCGCCTCGTAGAAGTTCTGAAAAAAAATAATTTGCACCCGATCTACAGTACCTTCAAATTCTCGACATTCCGCTTGCCAACACCGGAGAGGAATGAGGCACCAATGTAGACCACGATGAATTCTTTCGACTGAAAAATAGAGGAGGGATTAGAGGACAGGTTAGCAGGGATTGTTGGGGAAAGGAGGAGGGCAGGCTAGCAGAGATCTTTCGCGGAATTCGGGAACTGGTAAGGAGAGCTAGCAGAGTTTTTTAGGGAAGCTAAAGGAAAGGCCAAGGCAAACTAGCAAAGAATCTTTGCGCAAAGTGATCCAACCCGCCTGAGGCTAGCTAGCCGAGATTCTTTCGGACAGTACTCACAAGGGAACCACCCGAGGTCGAGGTGGCGTTTCGTTATGGGACCCAGCCCATTTTGTGCAGAATTTTTCGTTGATTCCGAATCCGCTGCTCATTTTTGCCAAATAGCTCGTTTTAAACAGTTATAGCGCTTCACAGTTCCATTTTTTTCCCAAATTTGTCAACTTCAAAGCCATTTATTTTGCACTTCCCGTCTGATTCATCAAAAACGAATATCGCCATCATATTCAGAAAATTTTTCTCTATAAAATGAGCTATTTAACTCAAAATTGTTGGAAATCGAAAAAATCGACGATACTTGGTATGGACTTCGTTTTTTCTATGGGAAATGGCGAAAAACAGGCTATTTCACACTCCCATAAGTGATCATCGATAGGCAGTAGCGCAGTAATGAAATATACCATTCGAATCAGAAAAAAAATTCTCTACAAGATAGGCTATTTAAAATGGATTGGCATATTAAAACAAAAATGTTGAGCATCGTGACAGATGACCGCCCGCGGGCTCAAATATGATCTTAAAATCGCCGTAACTTTTTAAATCGGGCTATTTGACAAAAATTGAAAGCGGATTCGGAATCAGCAAAAAATTCTGCACAAAATGGGCTGGGTCCCATAACGAAACGCCACCTCGACCTTAGGTGGTTCCCTTGTCAGTCGGGGCACGCTAGCAGGGTTCATTGCGGAAATATCGAGAAACATAGTAAACTCGCAGTTTTTTTTTTGCAGCATTTTGGAGAACCAGGGCGAGCTAGCAGAGATTCTTGAGGAAACCCCTCAATCCCAGGCAAACTAGCAGAAACCCTTTGCGGAAATCCCCTAAAATTGTGATACCTCGAGAAGTTTGGCCCCTTCGATGGTGGTCTTGTCCTTGCGGGCCAGGGTCTTCCCTAAAAAATTGCATCTCCAAAAAGTCGCCCCAAATTAGCATACCTTGAGTGCCTGGAGGAATGGGGATTTCGATGCGTCCATAGGCGGCCAGCGAGAGCGAGAGAAATTTAAAATGCCCCGGAGCCGTCGAAAAATTCGCTTAAAAATGAGCCGGCTTCCGGTTTCCGGATGAAATTTTGGGATATGCAAATTAGGGTAACATGACAAAATATGCAAATTATGCTATTTTAATTACTTTTAGAGATTTACGTATATTTAAATGTTTCTAATCTTCTTAAAAATGCTAATTATCGGAATAAAAATTCGAAATTGATGTAAATCATTCAAAAACTTTGAATTTTCTTTTCATATTGATTCTAAAATTTATTTAACCTTTAAAAAGTTTTTCCAAGTTTTTTTAACCATATGCAAAGCTTTTTTATTTTTATAGTGCATTTTTTCTCCAAGAAAGTATAATAACTTTATCAATATATGAAAAAAAAAAAAACTTGTCTAAAATATTACAGTCTCAAAAACACAAAAAATGACAAATCGATACGCAACAAAAACCATACAAACACTCACAATCGATTATCATAGGGGAATTCGCTTAAAACTTTGGTTTTTTTAGTTTTCACTTGGGGTGGGTGGAGAGAGAAAGAGCAGGGGAATGTGGAGAGATCAGAGATAGAGAGAGGCCAGAGAAGCAGAGAAAAACAGAAACACTCAAATTATTGATATCAAAATGAAATACCGATCGATACGGGGGAGTTTGGACCCGGAATTTGGATGCTAACGGAAATGGGGGGATACGGTGGTTAAAGGGACCGGGAACTGGCAATGTGCCAAAAAACAACCAGACAAATCGAGATATCATCGGGATTATGCAAAATTTGCATACACTTTTGGTGACGCGAGATCAGGGAGTGGGATCAGGGGAAGGGAGGCTTAGGTTTAGGCTTAGGCTTGGGGTTAGGGATAGTTTAGCCTTAGGCTTAGCTTAGGCTTATCTTTGGCTTAGCTAGGCTTGAGTTAGGATTACGGATACGGTAGACGGGTCACGTTCTAGGGTCGAGAGATCATTTCTGAATCAATCGGCGCTTTTTAGGGCTGGGGAATCGGAATAAACGGTTTTAAAGGACCACGGAAGCCACGAAACCCTATGGATTCAATAGTTCAGAAGCCCGTTCCTCCCCATCTCAACGCAGCTCAGGTAGAGCAGCCCGAAATTTGCGATTTTCCCGCAGATGAGCAGGGCGTTCATGATGGAGATGGTGATCGAGTAGCCCTTGAAGCCGAGCCAGTGGAATAGGAAGAATTCCCACACGAATGGCACCACGGAGAGAACCTGCAAAAATTTGATTAAAACTAGTTAAAAGCTTTGAAAACTTAAAATTTTAGCTTTTTTGCCTTCAACAACCCTTTAAAAAACGAATTTTTCTAATTTCAGAGCCCCCACAATACTTTCCAAACGTTCCCTGCTCAGGGAAATTCCCAAAAAAATCCCTGAAAAAATGTGTTTAAGCGGAACTTTTTGGATTCCCACCGCCCGCTACAAAAATCTAATGTATTCCCACCCAAACTATTCACTATTCATCATCCAATCGGAACCAGAAGTGTTCTCTCTCTCTCTCTCTCTCACCCTCTCTCGCTCTCACCCGACAGTTGCCTTTTCCAAACATTAATTTTCAAAATATATAAAGTTCCTCTCCACCTGGCGCGACAAATAAATTTTATTATTCCCGAGAGGTTCCCTTAAACCCGTAATTTATGATTTTTGAATGGCCGAGGAATTAGAATTCTCGAGGGTGTAATTATGAAGCGGTTTGTAGTCAGAGGGCCGCCGGAACAAAAAAAATTCGAGAAAACCGGCGGAGGGGGTCGTAATTTGAGGGTATGGTGGCGGAATTTCCTGCTTGGATTTTGGAGAGCGTTACGGTAAGATTAGAAAATACTGTGGCTGAGGTAAAAATCGGAATTCCGAAGAATACTTTGTACTCCAGAAATTCAAGATTTTGTTGCGAATTCCAAGGACTGGCGCGTATATGGGACAGTCAGTTCAATAGGACGCGTCTCCCTTGGGATTTCCCACTGCGCTTTGGCTAGTTGATCGGCTTCCGCGCTCACCGCCCGCAAGGCCAGGGTTCAAATCCTCGCCGGTCCTCGTTTTTGCTTTTTGCCCAAAAGTTCACTTCCATATTGCAAAAACCAACCCCCAAAACCGCGACCTCAAAACCGGATTCCCCGCGGAGCGTCAGAAACTAATTATTCCCTCCTCTTTATCCGGCCGTGTCGGCACCCCATATTTAACATTTACCCCCTCCCTAATCCCATAACTGGCCACGGCCGCCGCCGTCCCGCAAAAAAAGGGCAATTTTTATATAACCCGACCGAGGCGTGAGATTTTGGAGGTGGAAAAAGGGAATACGGCAATGATCTTCCACATGGTTAATCCCTAATCCCCCAAATCTGGCTCAGCTAGTTTTTTTTTCTGGTTGGTTGGCGCTCCCGGATTTGCACGATGAGAAAGAAGAGGGGAAATTCTTGGAGATCCACTTGATTTCTAGCAGATTTGGGGTACGGTAGCTACGCGGCACAATAAATTACGGGGCCTGAAAACCCGGCAAAAACTATCGAAAATTCGCAGAAATGATAAAGCTAATGCTTTTGTCTGCTGAAATCTTCGGCCTATTTTGACATTTTAAATGGTTACTGAAGGCAAACTGCACCGCTACGCTACGAGATACTCCAAATTACGCCCGTAAGAGTGAATAAAACTGACATGTGTGAGCGCGAAGCTGTGCGCCACCATCGGTAGGTAGACGGTGATCTTTTTTCGTTGGAGGAGGAGTCCCTCGGCGCTGCTGAAAAATACTCTCTAGATTTAATAAATGTGTATAAAAATTAGTAAAATTCAACTTATCAAAAGGAAAAAATTAATTTAACTGCTTTGATTGTTTTTGCAAAAATCAGCATAAAATCTGAGGTACCTGAATAGCTCCATGGCCTCATTGGCGACATCACATCCGGTACGACCGGAATTGATGGAGCGGGTGATACGGTAGACGAGGAAATAGACGAGAATTGTTGGGATGAAAATGAGGAGGAGGGCTGAGGCCATATGAAGCCAGATGAACAGATCTTTCGTCATATATGCGCTGTTCATCTACAAAAAGCAGGTTAAAAAGGGTTTAAAGGCACCTGGAAGTCAAAATCCTTAAGAACCTCTGTTAGCACACTTTTTATATTCCGCAAGAATCTTTGCTAATTGCCGTCCCCCAAATTCCTCAAGAATATCGGCTATCTTGCCTTTTCTTAAATTCATCACAAACTGTGGAATCACTGTGGAACAGAGCAATTTCTAAAGGATCTCTGCTAGTTTGCCCTGGATCCTTTTTTCCTCAAAAATCGCTGCTATCTGCTATCTATGCTAAACTAACTAGTCTAATTTCCCCAATGAACTCTGTAATCCCCCCGCTTACCGTAATCTTCGAAAACATCTTCGTTGGTAATCCATTCTCATCCGAGCAATTGAACCATATCTTTGGACTGTACGAGAAATGATGAAAGCTCGAGATCATTAGTGCGCCGGTGATCGCGGTGGCGATGCACAGAAACACGGCTTTTCCACCGAATAATGCCTAGAAAACGAGGGGTATTAAAGGAGCGTTAAAGGCATCTAGATACCTTTGTCATCGTCGATCCCCTTGCCCTCAAATAGATCTCAATGATGATGAGGAGAAAGATCGAGGTATCGACGGCTGACAGTTGATTTGAGAATGCATACAATCGAATCCGAGCGAGTTGGTAGAAACGCCTGGAAAAAAGGGGTGAAAGTACCGTAGTCGGTTCGGAAAAGCTATTTTAAAGGGACCGGCAAGCCAAAAATCGCCTTCAACGTGCCTTTAAAATCGCGCGTAAACTACCGTACTCGTAATGAAAAACTCGTTTTAAAGGGCCCGGCAACCAAAACGCTTTTTTTGCTTTGATAGACCATTTAAAACAAGAGCTTCAAAGCGGGCTTATTTTACGACTGCCGCTACCGTAACCCGCGTTCAAAACCTGTTTCTAAAGGCACCAAGAAGCCAGAAAATCGCCTAAATTCGGCTTATTTCAAGCCTAACAAGCTACCGTAACCTCCCCCCCCCCCCGCGGCACCGAATTACGTGTCGCAACCCAATTTTCGCGGGGCCATTAAGCGACTGGTCATAGTATTATTTTTTGCGGACTCTACAGTACTCTACAATACCCCAAAAAGGCAGCTGTACATAGTAACGTACCGGAATTGTTCATTCTCGTAGAGGGCCCGGAAAGTGCCGAGGCTCTGTGGGACGAGACATGCAAAAATGAGCACGTCGACGATGGCCAGGAAGAGGAGGGACCAGCGCGCCTGAAAAAATAAATTAAATTAAGTCCATAGTAGCGTTCTGTAGTTTTTCGCGGGTTATTGTAACTTTTATGATTTTCGTATGGTGACTTACAACATGCTTGGTCCGTCCCTTCAACACATTGTAGATTACTGTAATTGCCAGCGTCAAAAATCCGATACATTGGACGGGGAAGATGACGTGCTGGATCCAGAAATCCAGAGGATTCGTCGTCAATGGACCTCGTGAACAATCGACACGCATTTTGGAGGAGGTAACTGTAAATATATCTATAGATTTACACTTCAATGGGCCTTTAGAGGGCGAAACAGAGAAAAGAGCACATAAAAATGATAATGCGGCTTTTAAAGGGGTTGTGAAGACAAGAATATATAGAGATTTTGGCTTTGAGAAAATAGAGAGAGAGAGCAGAGAGAGAGAGAGAGAGAGAGAGAGAAAGAGAGAGCGCGAGAGAGAGGGGAGAAAGTTAGAGCGATTCTTTCGGATTCTTTTAAAGGGCCGCTTAGCAGGGATTTGGAAGGATTTTAAGAACGTGGAAAGTTCCAATCCCTCTTTATATATATCCGCTTTGTGCAGAGTATCTAAATGGACTTAACACCCCTAAACTACACGGGCAATTCCCCGTAAATTGGATCGGCGCGTAACGGCCTCCCCCCAGCTGAGTCGACTACGTAGATGGACAAAATACAGCAAGCAGAAACGCGTAAAAAAGGGCTGCCGTGTTGACGCATTAATGAGAGGCTGGTGGGAGGCGGGGGGTGATTGAATTTGGCGCTACAAAAAGCGCTTGTTGAACAGTGAGATAAGACACGTTTGCGGGGTCTTTAAAGGGCCGTTGAAGGCTGGAAACAATGGGAAATTCTGTGCGTTAATAGACAAATTAAATTAGATCGAGATCGATTAGATTTTCAAAGCATAAGAAGCCAAAGCCATAAGAATTGTCGGGTTTCCAGACCCTTTAGCAGCATAAAATTGTGCTCTAAAGGTACCAGGAAGCTCCGGGAGCGTAGGAGCACAAAATGACAAGCCCATGGAGATCGCCAGGGTTAAAATATGAGTCCGGAACGGGGCCCATTAGAGGGCCCAGCGGTCCCTTTAGGTAATTAGAGGGGGCGGGCCGGAGTGGATTATTTGATGTCTTTGGGTGGGAGGGGCCAAAAAGAGGAGGGGGCCTGGGTCCTAAGGAGGGCCCAAGAAAGGGCCCAAGACGGGGACAGGGTGAAATGACGAACCCCTGATGTTGAAGAGGAGGGGTATCCCTTTCATCAACCCCCATAAATAATGCCCATCAAAAAAGCGGGGGAAAATAAGCCCCCCATCATCATCATTGGAATGGGAAATGTGTACGAAATATACTACTAACATTATGCCCCCTCATTTCTTGCTCAAATTAGTCTCGTCGCCCCCTCAAAATTTGACATTTTCGGGGTTTTTTGGCATGGGGAATGAATGGAGGTGGAAAATGCGGAAATTTTGTGGTTTGATGTCGGCGTTTTTAAAGGGAGAAAGGGTATGCTAGCAGGCTAGCGAAATCGAGCAGCAATTCCTTGAGAAACTTGATTAAGGCAGACTAGCAGCGTGTATTGTGGAAATTCGGGAAAGCTAGCAGAAATTATTTGCGAAAATGGAGCAAGCGAAGCTGGCAGAGATTCTTTAGGAAAATTAACGCCAGAAAGCTAGCAGAGATCCCTTGAGGAATCGGGCTAACAATTCGGGCAAGCTAGCAAAGAACCTTTAGGAAAAACGACCAGCAAGCTAGCAGGGATTATTTGCGCAAAATTTACCCTAGGCAAGCTGGCAGGGATTCCTTGGGAAATTTGATCCTATTTGATATTTGAGAAATATGAGGCAAGCTAGCCGAGATCTTACACGAAAATCTATTAGGCGACCTAGCAGAGATTATTGAGGAAAGGTAGAACAGCAGAGTTTCTCTATGAAAATTAAATCAAGCAAGCTAGCAGCGATTATTTGAGAAGAACTGATTCTAGGCAGACTAGCAGAGATTATTTAGGAAATTCGACCGAGCGGGAATTCCTTACGAACCAGAAAAACTCCGACAAATACCATGATTCAGCCCCGCTCGCTAAATGTTGCCCTTTCCCCTTCCCGCGCTACCGTATCTTCCTATAGAGGGGTGGGACAGGTGAAAAATCTGCAGCCCCACCACGCCAAAAAACGCGTGACATTTCGATTTTACAGACAATAAAAAAATGGGACGTAAAGGGCATTTGTGGGGGTCTGTATTGGCCACATTGCAGCTGGCCACAATAGAGAAACATACACAAAAAATTCGACTAAAAAGGCACCAAAATATACAGCGAAAAAATTGAATTTTTATGAACGTGGGGGCGGCTTGGCGAGAATTTTCTGGATTTCTGGAATTTGTCGATTAGCATTTTGCATAATCTGCATGAATTGTGACGAGAGGCTGGCAGAAGCGGAAGTACAGTCCGCTAAAAATCGTGATATTTTATCCTCGGGTACTGTCGAATTTTTGGCAACTCGCCAAGTCCCCTTATAAACGAACATACAGTACGCTATCATATCGTACTGTAGCGTACCGGAGCGTAATACAGCGTACGGTAAGCTCAGTAACTTACCGTCGTTTTAAAGGGGCGTGCAAGGCAAATTTTTCTGGGTGCTGTAATTGGTTCCCTAATCCCTTTAAATTAAAAACTACAAAAATTTTTGGGTAACCGTACCCCTTTAAAGGGGCTGGGAAGGCAGAAGTTGGCATACAGATCTTATGAAATTTAAGCTAGGCTTAGTCTTAGGCTTAGCTTAGGCTTGGGCTTAAACTTGCCTTGGGCTCAGACTTAGGACTAGACTAGCTTAGGTTTGGGCTCAGGCTTAGACTTGGACTTATATCCCTATAACCCATTAAGAACTCCACTTGAATCCCGCCTTCCCAGCCCCTTAAACCCAAAACCCCGGCCATACCGTAACCCTCTAGAGCCCCGGGGCGGGACCCAAACCGGTCTACCCGGGCCGGGAAGAGGGAAAATGAGCAAAATCCCCCTCGTCGGAAAGGGGGCGTGGCTTCGTGGCTGTTCACAGGATTATCACGGAATATATCCACCCCACATAATTAGGCCACGCCCCTTTTTATATGGGATTAGGGATTAGCAATAGTGTAGAGCATAAGAAACAAAAAATATACAAATACGTGGGGGTACCGTACTCCCGGATCTGGGTACCGTACCCATTTGTACCGGAGGCGTTTTAAAGGTGTTGGCAAGCCGAGGAAAGTGTAATTTTTAGCGACTTGGTACGCTAACAGAGATTTTTGAGAAAAATCAGGCAAGCCTTGCAGTGATTCTTTCGGAATTGGAATCGAGCAAGAAATAGCAAGGAAGCCTGGAAGCATGCTAGCAAAGTTTCTTTAGGAAATCGAGGGCACAAGCAGGGTTTTTTTTAGTAAATAAAATACGAGCAAACTAGCAAAGATCCTTGGGGAAACTTGAGACAGAAAAGAGAGAGATCCTTTGGGAATTTTTGGGCTAGCTAGCAAAGACTCTTCTGGATCTGAAATTGAAGGCAAACTAGCAGAGACTTTTTAGGAATCAAAAGGCTAGCTAGCTGAGATTTTTTAGGAATTGAATAGGCTGGCTAGCAAAGACATTTAACAGATTTTCGATGCTGATTGACAGAGATCTTGCTGCAAAACTCCGGTAAGCCAGCGGTGACCGATGAGAATCGGCTTATTTTTTGGTGCAATACCACCGAGAATTCCAAGATCTTCCAGCTTACACTGACTGGCCGGGGAATGCCCTTATAAAGCCGACTCGAGACAAATGGATGGTGCGGGTGTAAACAAGATTAACCCGTAACGATAGAGAGAGAGAGAGAGAGAGAGAGAGAGAGAGAGAAATCCGCCACGAGGTGTCTAACGTATTTTATTCGATTGCGTAGGAGACGATGAGGGTATAAATCAACCTCTCCTATCCTATAAAGGTCTACACCCAATTACGGTCAAGTGGAATTGGGGTGTGACGTGTAGTGTTGATGTCATGCCCTCATTTACATGGCGTAATTGATTACACGAGCTTGAACTAGATTTATTGTGGTCATTTGGTTAGGTCAGGAAACCCTGGTGAAATTTAGCTGGCAAGTTAGCAGAGATTCTTTGGGCATTAGGAACCGGCAATCTGGCAAAGATTTCTGGGGGATTTTATCCAGGCCAGGTAACATAAAATTTTTAGAAATAAAATCTCAAACTGGCAGCGGTTATTTAGGAGGGTGAGCGAGCAGAGATTCTTGAGGAATTTTCCCAATTAGCTAGCGGAGTCCGTACAGGAATCGGATCAGCGCAATCTAGCAAGGATTCTTTAGGAGCCTGATGAGCTGGCAGACCCGTCCTTGGGTTCTGGCGAGCTAGCAGAGATCATTTAGGAACTAAGCGAGCCATCCGGCCCTCTAGCAGAGAGTCGTTGAGATGCGGGCCAGCTGGCAGAGATTCTGAGGATCCATGTAAGCTAGAAAAGCTTCTTTAGGAACCAAGCAAGCGAGCAGTGATTTTTTAGGAATTTTCGGACCAGCGTTCCTCGATCTCTAGGCCCATTTCGGGGCGCTATGTTGCGAGATATGTGCCCTGAGGTCATTTAGCTCCTTTTGCTGCGCTGACGTCTAAAATGTGTCCATCAATGGGGAAACCCGCTGCAAATTGAAATTCTATGCAAAAGAGGCTGAGATGAGACAGCGAGAGAGAGAGAGAGAGGTGCAAAACTCCCTAAAAAGGCCAAAAAAGAACGCCGAAAAAGTTGTTAGAAGTTTCCAGGAATTTCGTCGGAGGGGGAGTTCCACGCGACATCTGTTTACGTATTTCCAGATGGAGTTGCGTAGCGGAATCGAAAGTTTGGCCACGAACATTGCAAGGGTTTCTGCAAGTTGGCCCAAGCTAGCTATGCTCAAATGATCTATGCTAGCTTGCCTCTATCCCGTGTTCAGCAAAGAACCTCTGCTAGCTTGCCCAAGATTTATGACCCTTAATAGAAGCCTGATAATTGTTAGCTGAAAAAGCGGGGCTAGACGGACAGACAGAGTATGTGACCTCGATGGCTTCTCGAAAGTTGTATCTAGAAGCCGTAGAAGGGTGAGTTTTGGCTTATTTGAGCAGGAGTGTTGTACCTACTGGATTTCGTGATTTAGTGGTAGCTGGCAGAGGTTTTTGAGGAATGAGCAACAGGTTACATTGCGATATGTTATGCAACGGACGTGATGACAAATCAGAAGGAGAGAGAGCG